CAGCCTCAAGTTGCTGGAATGGAGGATGGAGGCCTTGTGCTATGAGGTGTAGGGTAAATGGTGTAGGACTAAGGGTGTTTTGGTGCTTGGGATAGAGAGAGAGAGGGATTGAATGCAAGAGCCTTAAACCAATTTTTGTAACCCTTCAAAATGCAGCTGAGGGGCTGGTTATATAGAGGGAGAGAGGCAAGGAAAGGGGGGGAAAACGAAATTCAAATTTCTCCCCAAAAGAGTCCCCCTCGGATACAGGATCTGGGGGGAAAAAGAGGTCATAACTGTAAGGAACCAGGTGAGGGGGTCATGGCCGGCCAGGTTTTGAGAGTTCAGGTGGCCGGCCGGCCACCTCCCCTGGATGGCCGACCAAGGGTCAAAAGAAGCAAGCATAATTACTGGTCGGCCACCTTACATTGGTGGCCTCCCATGTCTGCACAACACAACTATGTGATTGAAACCCAGAAAAAGTGAACTAGGAGAGAGAAAAGACCATTTTTTAGAGGGGGTCAAAAGGGTCAGGTACAATTACTGGTCGGCCACCAAATATTGGTGGCCTCCCAGGTGTGTACAACACAAATATGGGGTTTAGGGTTCAAGAAAGTGGCCCCGAGGTGGTCAACATTGGCTTTCAAGTGAGGAAAACGGGCGTCGGAGAGCGATGAAGAAATAAAGCTGGCTTTTCAGAACAATGGCTGGCCTCCCACCCTCCTACAAGCTTCCTAACTATGAAAATAAGGTCTCCACCAAAAATGAACCAAAACGGATGCAAAACGGAGGTTCGGGGATCGAAACGCGCGGCCTGGGGCCCTGAAAATGGGCTGTTAAGCACCGGAGGTGGCATTCGACCGCGAAGTTGGTCTCTCGGGCAACAGTGTTCCTCAAAAGGGAGGAAATAAGATGTATACGAAAAACCAAAGCAAATGGAGATGGTTAGGCGGTCCCGAGCCGAGGCACACGGCCGACGGCTCCGAAAAATCGAAAACCGGGCTCCAAATGGGAAAAATGGCCTACGACCACGAAACGTAGCCTACGGCCACTGAGAGATGATCTACGAGACCTCTCTCTCCCTTCAGGAAGAGAAAACAGAGAAAACAGAGCCTGGTTCGCAAACCGAGGCAAGGCACGAAAGAGTCCGGAAGTCCGAAGGCAAGGCTTGCAGCCGGGACTCTGAAACTTCTGAACGAGCACAGTATGCAATATCACCGAGCGCTCAACTGGTGACGTCTGAGTCTTAAGGTCGGTCTAAAATGGGGTGTCTACAGTCGGCCAAACCTGTAATTCAACGAGCCAGAAGACCGACGTTGATGCACGTCGAAGCAGTAGAGGAAGAAGTAGACAGACTTTTGGAGGCCAGAGCCATTAGAGAAGTTCACTACCCGACATGGCTAACCAATACAGTGGTGGTAAAAAAGAAGAACGGCAAATGGAGGGTCTGCGTAGACTTTACCAGCCTCAACAAAGCCTATCCTAAAGACAGCTTTCCTCTACCCAAGATTGACCAACTAGTAGATGCCACTTCAGGGCATGGAAGAATGAGCTTCCTAGATGCCTACATGGGGTACCACCAGATAGCCATGTACCCTCCAGACGAAGAGAAGACCGCGTTCATCACCCTAAAAGGCCTGTACTGTTATAGAGTAGTGCCTTTCGGGTTGAAAAATGCAGGAGCAACTTACCAAAGGTTGGTAACCAAAATGTTCAAACACCTGATTAGCCGAACAGTAGAAGTCTACATCGACGACATGGTCGTTAAGACCAAGGAGCCTGAGTGTCATCTCGCCGATCTAAAAGCAGTCTTTAAAATCCTTAAAACATATTGGCTTCGACTCAATGCATCGAAGTGTGCATTTGGAGTTGGATCTGGTATGTTTTTAGGATACCTGGTAACTAGAAGGGGCATCGAGGCCATCCCAGATCAGATCAAGGCCATCCTAGAGTTGAAGAGCCTGACGTCGGCAAAACAGGTGTAGATGCTAACTGGAAGGGCCGCAGCCCGGAACAGATTCATCAGCAGAAGCTCAGATAAGTGCAGACCTTTCTTCAACTTGGTGAAGAAAGCCACAAACTTCCTGTGGACCGAAGAATGTGAGGCCGCATTAGCCGACCTGAAGAAGTACTTGACCACAGCTCCAGTTCTTTCAAATCCAGAACCTGGGGAGGAGCTGTTCCTGTACTTAGCCGTTTCAGAACATGCGATAAGTG